TTTACGGAAAAAATATAAGATACCTTTTTTGTAGAGCATTAAATTTCCTACAAAATTTGTCTAGAACATTTTTCTTTACAATCAATTAATGACGAGGTATGAATTTTATTCTATTGGACTGAGAAAAAAATAAAAAACTGCGATGCGGAGGATCTTCCTATTAAAATTAAGAGCTCATATTTGGTGAGAATTCTTTTAAGGTGTCTAGCAACCCATTTTTCCGTGGCACTTGTAAAAAAAAAATAAATGATTTTTTTGACCGACCCTAATATATATAATATTATATATCCGCTTGCATGATTACTGAGTGGATTGAGTAGCTCAGTTCGGTTATGTTTCCGGTTCCGAAACCTAAATAATAAGTTAGGAAAGGTTAAGTTAGTTTGCCCAACGTATAAACCTAGAACAGGCTCCAAGAATTTCGATGACTTGCCTGGAAGAAAAGATTTAGAAGAAAAGAAGAAAAGAAGAAAAGAAGAAAAAAAGAAAAAGAATATTTTATATATATATATTGTATATTATATATTGGTATGGTGTAGGTCCCGAACCCGGATAAAGGTTTTGAAAAGTTAGTAAAGGTTAAGGTTATTATGCCCAACGTATAACCTAGGACAGGCTCCAAGAATTTGGACGACTCGCCTGGAAGAAAAGATTTAGAAGAAAAGAAGAGAAGAAAAAGAATATTCTATGTATATATATATTGTATATTGTAATATATTGTATTTTATAATTTTATTGAATGAAAGTAATTTTAGTATAAGTTTTTTTTTTGTTCATCTTAATGAAAATTATTTATAAAAAAATGTTAACATTTCTACAAATGTAATAGAAATAAATATGAATATGGCCGTTAAAGAACTGCATAGAAAAAGAAGATGAAATATGTGGAATGTTGAACATAACAAAGAAATAGGAATTCATGCATTAGACGTTTATCGACCTCAGGACCACCACCGTGATCAGGACCCATTCAATGATTCCATTGAATTTAATGACGCCATGGGCAACAGATAGGAAGCTTGAAAAACATGTTTTTCTTAATGGTTAGATAACTCTGAAAAAATTAACCTACTCATTCCTTATTTAGAAATACGTTATGATCAAATATTAGATTCTTTTGACACGTGTTTGCCCTATTTTTAACGAATAATTTAAACTACGACTCCTATCGTTCTAATTAAATTTATTTTAGATTGAGTTTTATAAAGATATTCGAATATTCTTTTTTTGATCGAATTACTATATATATATATATATATTATTTTTTATAGTATATATTAAGTTCTTCGAATTTTTTCATTAGCATGCTATACGAACTAATATTATGATTTAATATTTTTATAGGTTTTTATTTTATAGGTTTCCTGTTTAAATTTGGAAATTATTTCATTGTCTTAACATTATGTATATATTGTGTGGTTAAATAATAATGGAGACTCAAACTCCCCAAAAAATATCTTCAAACCACTCCAATGAAACAAATTACGAAAAATACAAAAGATTGAAATAATTTCTAAATATTAAAAATTAGAAACAATTGAAAATAATGAAATTTTATAAACATATGTGCATATGTATTTTTATATATTTTTTAAAAGTAAGCAATTTAGGATGGTGTAGGCGTGTCCGAAGGATAACCCAACCCTCCCCATATATACATATATATATATACAGCCATACTCACACACACACACACACACACGTGTGTGTGTGTGTGTGTGTGTGTGTGTGTGTGTGTGTGTGTGTGTGTGTGTGTGTGTGTNATATATTATATACTATATTAGTAAATTAAATATATATAATACTTTTTTGACGTGAAAACTTCTATTTTATTGCACGCGTTTTTTTTCAACTTAGCATATAGCATAATTTTTATTGTGATTTTTTTTTTAATATTAATATATACTCCCGTATTTATATGAGTAACTTCTTTAAACACTAATTAGATCTTAATGTAATATTTTAATTAGCACACGATTTACAAATTGGAATTGAATAACTTCGATTATCGACTCGAATATTCTCTATAACTCGAATATCGACTAATTTCAACCTATAGACATTTCGCATAACAATTTATAAATAAAAAATTAATTAAATAAACAACTTAAATTGGACCGAATTGTAAATCTAAACCATTATCGAATCCACCTTAAGACACACACAAAAATTTCATTAAAATCGGTCCAGTCGTTTAGGAGGAAATCAATTACATAAATGTGCACAGATATATTCTTATATATATAAGAAAGAAAAAGTATTTTATTTTTCAAATGTAATTGATTTACAAAAAATTACATTTCTTCTTCGCATAAATATTTTTTACGATATCGTTGGAGTGCTCTTCTGATAACATTCACTGTAAAATCTGCATCTTCCTTTGTAACACACATTGGCGGTGTTATTCTTAAAACCTAAATTAACGATAAACATTAATATAATATACGTATAATGTAATATAATCAAAACTTACATTTCCAAATAATCCACCCTTTCCAACAAGTACACCCATATCTTTAATATCTTCAAATATGTCAACCATATGTTCTTCTTTAATATATTTCTTCGTTCTATTATTTTTTGCTAATTCTACACCTATCATAAGACCCTTCCCTCGTACGTCACTTACAATATCCGAAAAATCATGAGTTAAGGTACTCAATTGTTGACACAAATAAGTTCCAGTAATAAGGGCATTCTTTTGCATACCTTCATTCTCAATTATCTAATAACAGCAATAACATAAATAATAAATGGATTATTCATAATTATAGTTTAACACATTCACGCCGGCGCCGATTTTCAATGTCTGCTATGGGGCACCCGATGCAGCGTTCCCATTCGTAACATAACTATCGTAAACGTCATAATAATTTCAGCTATTGTACGGTAGTATATCCAACTTTGATTATGTGACAAAAATCTACGATAATATGAGACTAGTACGGCAATTGTACGATAATTTTAAGTAAGTTTAATCAATAATATTTCGTATTGAAATATTTTTATCATCCACTGGTTTGAAACATGAAACATACTAGCCTAATGTCAGTGCTGTACTGTATGTAATATGTAACATGTTCCTATCTAGTTAATAGATATTTATTTAACACAGAAGTCTTCATTATTTTTTACATTTTTCAATAAAAAAATTTATAACTTAATTCCAACAGTAATGAATCTGCCAATTAAACATTTAGATTATAAAAATTCAGTCAATTAGTTAAATTAAAAAATTTTATTTATGCGTACGATAATTTTCCGGTAAACCCGACAATTTTACGGCATCGTGTCGATCAGACGAGCTACAGTCTCTGGGAACACTGGCCCCAGTGATCCCAGAAACTTTTGCTCTATGACTGTAACCAATCAAAAAATTGCTTTTTCGAACTTTTCGATACATAAATAACTGAGTGCGCTAGAGTGCGCTGCAACCTAGGGATTCTGTAGGAAGAACGCGCCAAAGAATTTTGGGAGACAGAAACTTATGTAGTCACGTGATTGCACGCGAATGAATCGAACATTTTAAATAGTATAAAAGTTGTATATACTTAGTAATAGTGAATAGTGTAGGGGGTGGAGAGTACACAAAAAAATTATTATAAATTCAAAAAGAAAGATTCAATTAAGTTTGATTTGATAAAAGGCATTACAATATTTTGAAATTTCAAAACAACTTGTAGGAATTTATACAATTTTGATAAATACAATTATCTACTATATATATATATTATATCTACAATTATTTTAATCATTCGTACAATTTGTTTTTAATTTCCAATATTAATAAATCAGCTAGGATTCCTGGGTATTATATCTTCATAACTAACCACAGCCGTTATTTATACATACTAAAGAAAAACATGGCTGCGCGTTGAATCGGAAGTTGTCCCCCAAAATTTTCAGCCAATAGCAACCCCAGCAATATATATGGCGCGTCCCTCCTACAGGGTCTCTACTGCAACCGAACGCGTAACAAAATCAAAATTATATTTACATATCGAATAATCATAAATTATCGTACAAGTTGGATTTAGGATTGTACAATGCTTCAAATTATGTGACGAATAGGATCACTGACTGACCCAATGAAAAAATCTAGTGCTGGCAGCTATTGGGGCCAGTCTAGCGCGAGCTGTCGGTGGTTAAGGACGTCCCGTGAACATCAGCGCGTTTGTATATTTTATTTATATTATTTGTTTGTATATTAATTTGTATTATTTGAAAGTAATCTTAATTTAACAATACATTGCAAAGGTGAAAAAAATTAACAAACGAGTAAACTTTATGTAAAATTTTACGCTCTACACGCTGGTATAGTTATTTTTTTATTTCGACTAGCGGTTTCCGAGATATTTGCAAAAAACAGGCAATTGTCGTACTTTCCGAGCACCTAGCTCAAAACCGATTTCAGAAATCGATTCCTCGGGCCAAAAAACATAAAATATCAAAAATGCATCCATCCAGACGCAATTGGTGCATATTTCGATTTCAGAGCTATTTTGACTGGATTATGAACGTGTTAAATATAGTAGTAGTAACATACATCAAGCACTGCTAAACCTCCAGCGCAAATAATTGGATTTCCAGAAAAGGTATTGAAATGAAGTGCTCTTTTCAAACAATTAGCAATATCAATAGTAGTTGCCACTGCACCAAGAGGAATTCCATTTCCAATGCCTTTTGCCATTGTTACTATGTCAGGTTGAATTCCATGATTTTGAAAACCCCAAAAATGATTGCCTGTTCTACCAAAACCAGTTTGTACTTCATCAGCTATACAAAGACCACCATTTTCGTGAACAATATCATAAATCTTTTTTAAGAATAACCGTGGATATTGTATAACACCTCCGATACCCTTAAAAAAAAAATTTGAAAATATTTAGTCGAGACTTACCGACTTACTTCTTTTAGCGAACGGTCAGTTATTCGTGTTCTTATTACGAGACTCAATAATTTCGCAAGTGTATCGCAGGTTTTTTGTATATACATATATACCAATTTTCGCTTATTCCTTTTTGTTTTCTTTTTCTTTTCCTTATCGATGCACTATAATTAATAATTTAAATATATATATAATTACATAAATGATGATATTACCTGAATGCTTTCTGCAATGAATGCAGCAACACCTCCTTTTTTGGGCAAACTGTAACGAAAAGTGTCTTTAAATTCATCTAAATATTTAGTGAGTAAGACACATTCATCGTTACTGCAACTGCATGTGCCTTTTACACCCGGAACAGAACAATCTTTGCATTTCGAATTACAGGGAAGATATTTTTGTAAGCCTGGATTGCATACCTAAAAGGGACAAAAATTATGAATAATTTTATTGATATTCGTGTAAAAAAAAAAAGAAAAACTAAAGTCCTAGGTAAATGATTTATTTACGAACGTGTATATGGCCAGGTGGCTGTGAAATAGCATATTTCCATGTACTTAAAGCGGTCGTTGCCGAGGTTCCATAAGTACCGCCATGATAACAATTATTCAGTGAAATGATATTCTGTTCGCCAGTATAAAGTCTCGCCATTAAATATGCTAACTCATTAGCTTCGGAGCCACTATTGACGAGATAAATGACTCGAAGTTTTTCCGGTAATTTGGCAGCTAATTTTTCTGTATATTCGTATAAACTAGAATGCATATAAAGTCCTGATACATGGCCAAGTTTTTTCACTTGATCCGATATCGCAGCTACGATTTTTCTGATATAATTAAAAAATATATTTATTATATTTTTATATTATAATTTATTTATATATTTTATATTTTATATATATTTATTAAAATATTTCCAAATTTCTATTTGACGAATACTAATATCCCTAACGTATATACATATATTTTTAACAGTAATTATAATGTTAAATTAAGTCCAAAAATATATATCATTAATTTGATATTCTTATTATTATTTATATAAATTTACATAAATCATAAGATAATTTTTTTTTATATTTTTGTTTTGATAATTATTTACTTACGGGTGACAATGTCCTGTAGAAACAGTAACGATACCACCGAACATATCTAAATAACGTTTACCATCATGACCCCACACCCATTGATTCTTTCCTTCGTATAATAACAATGGCTTCTTATAATACATTTTATAACTAGGTGATATGTTCGATTCGTATGCTGCTTTTACATTATCGTAACTTGGTCCCTTAATATTTAAAAAATAAAAATAACTTACAACGTATATGTACGTGTATGTATATGTAAATTAATTTTACAAATATACATTACAAACATACCGTATAAACAGACGGTATATGTTGATAAGGTGGCATTTCTAATTTTTTATCCGTATTTATTAATCTAACATTTCTCTTATCTAATAGTTGAAAGAACAATTAGTTATAAACGAGTTAGTACAGTTATATTCTTATCACGATGAACATATTATATACGGATGACGAGATTTGTAATCTTTACATTTCTATTGGTTGTTTTTGTACAATGTATATAATTCCATTTTTTATTTAATCTTTACATTTGAGAGTAAAGATAATTTCAAAGATATAACATGAATTCCTTAGATACTTATTTCATTTTTATTATCAAAGTTGATTTTTTATAATTCAATTAAATTTTCTTTACTTCATATAATACCTCATGGCAAGATATAAATAAGATGAAATAGATATATCCTGTATATAATATGTTACATTCCATTTAAATAATTATTATATATTTCTATATATATATATATACATATACTTACATGTTTTATACGTTGAATTAAAAATATTACGAACGTAATATAGTTGACAATTCATACTGTAATATATGACTTACAGTAACACGTTACTATATATTTAAAATTTTGCAAGATAAATAATTATACGTTAAAATGATCGTTGCTTTATAAAAAAAAAATAGACAAAATAGTAAACGCACTATCGCAAGAAAGTAAGTTAATAGTATTGGGTAAAGACTTGTTAACCGTCTTAGCAACAAATTAATACTGAAGCTAAAGAATTCCAATGATTTGCCTTTTTGATTTGCAAATTAAAAATATTCATCGTATACGACTATATATATATACGAAACTTAACAGAAAATGTCACGTCACATCAGTGTCCCTATTTAAATGTCCCCTTAATTGTTATGTAAAAATGATAAATAAAGCTACGGAATATGAATGAAATGGAACATTTTATAACCCTTCGCGGGAGGTCAATAATAAAATGCGTTTACATACCGGATGAACAAGTATTGTGATTTTATCGTTTGAATGTTTGAAACTATTTTCAAGACGATATAAAAAAAACACGCGATATGATCGTTTGATATCATATGACATAGTCATGAGAAAATAAAATAATTGATAAATCTTTACATCCGTGTTAAAAACTCGATAATGATTAGTGAAAGAAAAAAAAACTTGAATAAAAAAATATATCGTTACGAAAGCAGGTCAAACTTTAGAACGCTATCTTCTTTGTTGTATTATATATAGAAAGGAGCAAGAAGATAGAAGTTAAGGGTCAGTGAACTGAACCCAAGTTCCACGTGCCGCGTAGTTTGACATTCGATGCATAGGAATTCTTCAAGGCCACATATTCGTTAACCAAACTAGCTTTCCCTAGTATATCCTCTAGTCCAGCCCCTTTCAATCTTACCTACATCATAATAACTTTCACATGTGTCTGTGTATTCTAACACATACTTAGTCTATTGAGGATAAGATATATAGAATTCCAAATAACTCTGTAATTATAATATTCTCAAATTTTAAATAACAAACATATATATATATATATTATTATTATTATTATTATTATTATTATTATTATTATTATTATTATTATTATTATTAATATAAACTTAATATAATATAATATAAATATAATATAAATTATATATATATATATATATATATATTACAATATAATATAAAATTAATATAAATAATAATATTAGAAAAAAGTTTATTTTTCGTTAAAAACTCGATAAAAAAAATATAATACCAAAAGTGATTTTTTTTTTTGGTTTATACCAAAGGAAGAAAGAAACATGCAGAAGAAATGGAACACAAAAATTCAAAAAAAAAAAAAAA